TTGGCTCTGAGATTGTTGCGAATGAATAATGGCGCAGTCATCAAGCTTGCACAGCTGCGTGTGGTGAAGGAAGTAAGATTACTGTAATCGTGCCAACAGAACTTCCTCGGAAAGAAGCTCAACTATTCGGAAGAAGCATGGCTTCATAGATTGTAATGCGCCTAAGATGGATTCATATTTATCTTCGAGTTCCTGTACGCTGTTCTTTTTTCTTCGCGAGCTTTCCTGTTCAGGTCAGATGCGTGCTGCTTAAGTGTTTAAAAGATGTGCAGCTGGTCATTCGACTTTTTCGGTTCGGGTTCGGAAGGTTGTGAATATCAGTAGTAGGAGAGCTTTCATTTTCTAAGAGAGGAATTCACGATAAGAACGAAGGTCAAAGAAGGGGAAAATTGCATAGTTGAGGAGAAAGGCGGACCTCCTGAGGGTGCTGACCGACGCGCAATTGGCAGCGAAAGATTTGACCTCGGCGATCTAGCATGGCTCACTCTTGGCGCGGTTGGCGGAGGGTACGCCCACCGCATTGGTAATCACTTGGCGTAGGACTATAATGATGTGGGAGTGATGTAGATAGCAGAAGAGAGCGTATAGCATACATTATACGAAGTTATACGAAGAGTCGCATCAATGCGTATGTCAACGGGCAAGTAGGGGGTCCCATTTCTCTGGTTTGTGACCGTTTTCAAATGGTCCGAAACCAGAGAAATGGGACCCCTTAATGGTTTTCGTCGTAAATTCTGTCTTTAAACCAAGCAGTTGCTCATGGTCTACTGGTGCGTGTTTTGCTCGAATCGCATCGCAAATAGTGTTTTCTGTTGGAAAGGAGGTTCTCCCCGATGTAGAACATTATTTTCCATGTAAATATTGGATTGAGTCACGAGTACTGTCCGGTTTCTCCAACCCTCTGCAATTCTTCTGGAAATATGTTCATGTTGTTCTTACCCATGTGTTGTGTAGGGCCTTGGTAGGATTGCTGATGAAGTGAAGCGTGCAGTGCTTCGGTGCTCCTAATTCTTTTGTGAAGGACTAGCTGGAGCATAAAATCTAATAGGCTGATCTGATATTCAAGACAATCATGTTTTGATCATCATCTTGTGTATTCCCAACTTGCGACTCATCGTCTGTGAGCCCATCAACACCTTTCTTACTGTCGTATTCCTTCACAAGTTCGGAACTTTCCTACTGTACTGCTCCTGGTAATGTCAAAGGGGTCATTTGTTATAGCCATTATGACAGATGAAAACAACTGTATATTTGTCATTTTCGCATCATTGCACGTATTCTTTAGCTCTATTTCTTGAAATAAAATCTAGTCCCACGGGAATAGAACTTTTGCGTTGCTCAGCCCAATCAAATAAAAGTATAACAGTGTCAGTCAAAAACAGATGATGATGATCATAAATCTCTGCATCCCATTATATACTTTGGACCTTAATATATCACGTCTCGATCAAAGCGATCACTTTCACCTCGTGAAGTTGGATGTGGATCGAATTTCTGGCCGCCACAGTTGTCTTTTGAACTTATGCAGCTGGATGCAGTAGTTCGTCGATAGCCAAAGAGTTGGCCTATGACGAAGATATCCCAATATACCAAAACTGAGTCTGCTGGATTTACGGTTTTCTTGGCTGCTACTAATTTCTGGGTACGAATTTCCAAAATTCACAAAACCACGAATTCCATGGTTTCGTGAAGTGGAACCATTTGGGTTGTATGACTAGCGCTTGAGCCGAGGAAACGCCAATCATATAACCCAAATCGTTCAAAGTTGGCATTGTAGAAAGTGTATGGTCTGCCCCACCACTATAATGTTTCGTAATGAAAGCGTCTTACTTTTGAATTATGGAGCAAACTTCTTCCTTATTAATGATTTTTCCCAAACGTGTTCACGGAGTATTGAATGACACTGGTCTAAACATTGGATAGAAGTTAGAACACCAGTAGACTCGAGGCTCGGAGCAAGCGAAAGAGATGTTATTTGCGGTCCTCCAGCTATCTCTCATAATTCATTCTGTTGAATGTAATTCAAATGCCCACTTTTTTTGGACCCGAAACAGAACGTAAAATTGCGTATACCAAGCTCAGGCTAATTTCACACTCTATCCGCCGCTCAACCGAAGTGATTAAGAGGCACGCTTCGTGCGCCCTTTTCCTGAACATTAACTTCCCTTATAGTGCTGAGCTCAATTCTAAGAGAATGCGATCTCTACGTCTGAGGGGGTGGCTTGCTTGCTTCCCGCCTTCACTGACGCTGGTGGGCTGCCTAAAGTAGTGGTCTGGGGCCGGGTGCAGCAAGCCCCAACGAGGGGATGGGTCCCCTAAACTCTGCATCTCTGGACTCTTCCCCTATTCTTAACCACGAGAGTTGCGTCATCGACAGAGTGGAGACACAGAACTTTGGGGACCCATCCCCTCGTTGGGGCTTGCTGCACCCGGCCCCTGATGTGACAACGATCTACGGCCTTAAATGAACGCAACCTGGATGATCGACAAGAATGCTTGAAGGCAGCACTGTCGCTCCAGTCAAGAACTTTACTTGCACTTCGAGCTCTGGGCAATCGTCTACCGATACGGAATCAGGCATTTGTTTTCTCCTTACCCAGCTTTAAGGGATCTATTTACCATAGCTTGTCAGGGTTTACGGACTACTTGATTTTTCCTCAATGGTCCTGCCGCGAATGGCTAGAGCACAGACGATTAGAGAACGGGTGAATACCCTGGGACTAAGCCTTGGAGAGGAGAGGGACCGCGAGAGAGCGCAGAGGCGGTTTAAAGGGCTGAGGTTCAAGTAGTCTCGTCGACCGCCTTATTCAGCACCAACGCGCCACAAACGATTACGAGGAGTGGCTGGTGTCATTGGGATGTGGAACGCTGAGGCCTGCAATGCTGCTAGCCAGACAAATTGCTGTTGCTCTGAAGGTTGGCTTGCTGCTTTTTGGCCACATTTCCTCACAGACCGTTATCCGGAAGGATCTGCTGTATGGCGATAGTGTTTTAGCCATAAATCAGCACCCTTGTAATAAGGTTTGAGGTAACAGGTTGTGAACGGCTGCTAAACAATAAACAATAACAGTCAATCAATCAATATCAATCAAACTCACCTATAAATATTTTCCAGCGGGTATGTCCATTTTTATTTTCTTTGAGCAAGGTCGTTTGCCTAAGATGCCATTCTTTTTTCTTGCCATTCCTTTTTCGGAGCTTAGATTAGTATCAGTTCCCTTTGTATAAGTCGTCTTCCTAAGAGGATTACGAGCCATTAGTATGAAAAAGTGCACAAAAACCAAAGTCGTGACGGTTTCATTCGTTGATTTACAATTGTTCATTTACAATGTTCTTAAGCTTGAGCGATTTCCGTTTGCTAACAACTGTGTTTTTTTATGTGGCGTCAATTCGATACACTCAGCCGAAAACACCGCATCATTTCTAGCCGTTTTAGTAACAAGCTCACTCAACAGGCGACGAAGTTATACGCCGCCGACATTCCGCTGTGTTTGTGTTTTTGCTAGAGATAAAAGCTTCTATGTCTTCTAATGCATGGGAAAGGTCGCGTTATATTTTTTGCTAGGATTTCAGTGATCGACATGGAAAAGACAGGTCGAGAGTATACTTCGAGCAGAACTGAAAGCGAAAGGACAAGCGGATACTGTAGAGGATATGCTTCGAGTTGGATTTCACTGGCCACCACTGGTCACCGTTAACCACCTACACATGCATATCATCTACCCTATCAGCGAGGTAAATGCTACAGTGTATTAAAATCATTGGCTCACTTCATCAAAAAGGGCGACCTGTCCAACCCATGTAAACATCCAAACTAGTTATATGACATGCGCCATGAATGGCATACAATTGATGCACTTTTCTGCGTCAGTTGGTTACAATTTAGCTCAAAGATGTCGACTGTCAAGAGGGGCTTTGTGCAGTCGACGCTTTTTCTAGGCGGGACGGGGTTGGTAGCTTCCATATGCTCTTCTTACTTATTTCTTCTCGGACCTCCTACTCGCTGCCAGCACCGCGTCGAAGCGCAGACCGCTATCTTGTCGCGACTCTCGTCACGACCTTTGGAATGTACAGGGTATGCGCCGATAGGATTCCGTGCTCCAGTCACATTCTCACGCCATGGAGGACGAGACTATGCTTTCCCACGGACGCAGACGCTTTCCCATGATTCAAACGCATGCAGCAGCCAGAAGTGCGGGAAGCTCTCTGCGTCCCTGCTCGATTCGCGCCCATCAGCCAGCAGTCATCGTGCAGTCGTCGTCCTGTCGCCTCGCCGAGTGGTTGCGTCTACGAAGTCCTCAGCCTCGGTTGGAGCCGGTCGTCATGTCACCACCATCGTCAGCTCAAGGATCGGTTCGCATGCCCCGCGCGCTTATCTTACCGGTTGCGCCCGTAGGTTCTTTTATATCATCCATATATCTCTCTCTCATGTAGTCATGTAGTCTATTGTAAAGTTAGTCATAAAAGCCTTTAATATGTAGTGTTCTGTTATGTAGCAATAAGTACACATCTTTATTAGCATATCTCAGTAGTATCAGTCATCAGCTATCGCCCGGGGGTCGGGGAAAGGGCCAGAAAGGTCCGCTGCAGGCATCAGTCGTCAGAGCATTCTAGTGCGACGTGTCCCCCGTAGATAGGGTGTTGGGCCCTTATAATACCCATCTCTGCCGTGTCCTCGGTGCTCTCCGCCACCGATGCGCTTCATCCACCACCACCTCGGGGCACCGGGTCGCGACAGAATTGGTGCATCGGGCCGCAGTCATTGTCGTCGAAAGACGGCCTTGGCTGTTGTGATCGAGCTCCTTTCCGTCGCACCTGGGGTTTTACATCAGCGTATTGCATCATCACCCTTCTTCCCTTCAAAATTTAAGCGCCAATTTGCGCCGTTAACTATCTTTCGGTTAACCTGTAGGCTCACATACGCATCTTCAGCTCGTATCTCGCGTGGGTAATGGGCACTACTGCCCCCACAACTGGTTCTATTGCACTACGTCATGCCCATGTCCATTGTTACTGTTGGGACCAGTGGCAGGGGTCCCCTCGGTACCTCGGCAATTGCAGGTCGCAATGGCAAGGGAAATCTGGCCAGTCATGAGTACGGGTGTAGGAACCTTATGCGCCTTGTGAAGGTCGCAGCATTGGGTTACATGGGTGCAGGTTGGTGGTGGTAGGCTAAATCCAATAATATGGGACCCAGTTGAGGGAATGGGAGCCTTTCAGGGCAATGGATCCGCCTGGACGGCCCATTGAGGCAATGCTGAGCCCCACAGCTCACCACGAGCATTGCGAAGCATGTAAGTCTCCGTGTAGACCCAAGCCGCGCATTCACACGCGCTAGACCGTGGCTAAGGCTTGCTCGTTCCTCACGCTAGCTACTTGCTTATCATACGTACGCTTTGCTTACAACCCCTTTCGCAATCCCCTCTATCACACGTCATCCCTATGCTCCCTCGCAGTATGTGCGGTCCTCGTACCATCTTTCCTCTTTCCTCTTCTTGGTTTTCTAATTCTCTCCTATTATCTTTTTCTATTTCACAACTCAGTAGTTTCTTAGTCCCTCATGCGACCGATCCATTCGCCAGTGACAATCCGATTCTTCGAGTCGTCAGCTATTTCGCCATGTGAAGTTATTCGAAGATCCGTTGTGTTGTGTGTCGCCTACGCCATTGACATGCATTGCGGAGCTTGGCAACATCTCCAAATTCTGTCTTCCAGACAACGCTCTACTGTCGACCGCTTCGAATCCATTCGTTATGTCTACACTCCAAGACCACAAGACAAGGACGACCAACGCTGTTGGTATGCTTTCCAAGACTCTTTCTGTACTTGATTCCAGCTACCTTACGCCGATCGATACGACGACGACACCCGAAGTTCAACTTCGAGAGATTTCGCGCCGTAAACACGACATCACAGCGGCAAAAGCAGCCTTGGAGAGAGCACTCGGAACAGCACGAACGCGTTATCAAGCCTTGTTGCTCTTCGTGCAGACACAACCGGATCATACGGAAATCAGCTGTGACGCCGACCAATTCTGGACAGAATTACAAGGTGACCAGCTTTTCGATAAGGCACAGGATACCATCGTCACTCTCGACACTCAACTTGTCGCGGATCAGAACATCTACACTTCACTTGTCTCTCAGCTCAATAACGACATGGTTACGGGAACAGCCAACTTGGCTGTCACAGATCCAACACGCCAGACCGACCATCCATCGTCTTCAGCGAACCAGGATTCACCTCCTTATGTAACACCTATGACTCCATCTCAGGAAGTTTCTCCATCGACGTTCCAGCCTATTCAACTCCGTCGCGTTGAGCTACCAACCTTCGACGGTGATATTGCGCAGTTTCACGATTTCTGGTGCAGATTTCGAACCGCAGTCCACGATAACGATACTCTGTCGTTGCCAACCAAGTTTATCTACTTGACGAACTCGCTTAAAGGAAGTGCTTCGTTGATAATTCAAGGTTACGATCCGTCACAACCCGACAATTATCATTTAGCCATCAATGCACTCCGTCGACGATATGATCGTCCGCAGTTCACGCACCATCTATTCCATCATAAGCTTGAGCAACTGCAGACATCGTCTTCAGCACCATCGAACCAACGCGATACTCTGTGCCAGATTCAGTCCTTCGTTCTGCAGCTTAACCGTTTCGAAGATACCACTACTTCTCTAGCTCTTAAGAAGCTCATCAAGAAGAAGTTTCCTCGCGACACCCAGTTGGAAGTCAATAAGCTAGAGCATCGGTCAGGCAAAACATGGACCCTACCAGAACTTCTAGATGGACTCAACGAAGTCATAGAGGAGTATGAGAAATTGGATGACTACACAGTGGTCAAACCCAGTTCGGAATTCAACATCAATCCTGTTTCTACTCGCTCCAGATCGCCAACACCGGAGTTACAGTACGATCCACGGACGTGTTGTTTCTGTCATTCACGTAACCATTATTCCACTCAGTGCTATCATTATATGTCTTCAGCAAATCGTCGCATCATTGTCCGAGCATGTCGTCTCTGTTTGAAATGTCTTCGACCCGGACATGTCAGTCGGAACTGTGTACGACCTAACTGTCCTCGCTGCAATGGCAATCACCATCTACTTCTTTGCATACACTCCAGTAGAAGAAGTCGCTTATCTAGCACTGAAAGAGGATATTATGACTCACAACGCCATCGTTCCATGTCAAGGAGTTCTTCGCGCAGTCGCACACGAAGTCCATCATACGAAAGGAGTCGTTCACGACCGTCATCTCGTTCAAACTCCCATTCACCAAGACGATCCCACGACCAAAGTCCATCGTGGCGTCATAGAAGATCAGATAGTTCTGAACGCTCACAACATCATACGGTTCGTTTCCGATCTCCAGTTCGCGACAGCACACCTCCACCGCGAAGTTCTCATGGACAGGAACCCACGATTGAACAAGAGTCTCCAGTCCATGTCGCAGTCGAATCAGACAACGAGAACGATCACTTCGTAGATCTTGAACGCCTGTCTGGAACACAAGTTTCTACTACATTGGACATCTCTACTCCGTCGAGTTTAATGACAGTAGAAGCTCTTGCGATCGATCAACAGACTAAAGATTCTGTTCCAGTCATCCTCCTTCTCGATACAGGAGCACAAAGAAGCTTCATTTCGCAGGAAGCAGTTAGTAAACTTCATATCACAGTTCATCATACCACCCCTCTTACGACTGTTACGTTCGGAGCAGTTCGCACTACAGAGCAATCGGCAATGATCGACGTAACGCTTCTCGATGATCGAGGAAACAGTCTTCAGCTCATCCTTCGAACTAAAGACAAATTGACTGTCCCGTGTCTATCAGCCAGCCTCACAAGAGAAGATAAACACGCTCTTCAGTGCCATGCCATCGACATCGATTCTCTCTCAGTGAGCCGTGCTGTTACACCGGATATCCTAATAGGAATCGACTATTTCTGGGACATTGTCACGTCGGATAGTCCTCAGCCACTTCCATCAGGCTTAGTTCTCTGCCATACACGTTTCGGTCCAACCATTTCGGGATCGAAGTTTTTTCGTGGCTTACCTACAACAGTTTCCCACTAATCCCCAATCTGTCTCATCTGTTCAAGATATCGATCCTGTTTCCCGCTTCGACCATCTAGACATCATCGGTATCACAGATGACCCAGATCCTCAATTCGATCAAGAAGAAGATTCCAAAATTCTACAACGATTCCAAGACACTGTACAAGAGATAGATGGACACATTTATGTTCAATTCCCATGGAGAACATCCCATCCGAGACTAGCCGACAACAAGCTCCTTGCACTTAAGCGACTCGAAAGCCAATACAGATCTCTTGTCATCAAACCAGATCTGTGGCAACTCTACGTCTCGACGATCAACGACTATCTGGCTAAAGGAATAATCGAGGAAGTCGATGAACACCGCTTCGACGACCATAGAGTCTACTATATTCCTCACCAAGCCGTGATCAAAGAGTCGTCAGCTACCACCAAACTCAGAGTCGTCTTTGATGCCTCGTCACACTATAGAGGAGCCCCGAGTCTCAATGACTGTCTCCATCCCGGTCCATCCATCCTTCCGGATCTTGTTGGAATCCTTCTTCGTTCCCGTCTTACTCCTATTCTCCTTATCTCAGACGTAGAAAAAGCCTTCTTACAAATTCGACTTCAACGTAGTCAACGAGATGCCACGCGATTCCTATGGTTGACGGACACGTCATTACCACCGTCAGAGACTAATCTCAGGATATTCCGTTTTACACGAGTCCCATTTGGAATTACGGCTTCACCATTTCTACTTGCAGCTTCCATCTTGTATTACTTACGCCGTGATCCATCCTCCCAACTCAACAAGGAGATCGAGGACAATACGTACGTCGATAACATCCTGCTACAAGCATCTTCACCTGAAGAAGCGATACGGAAATATCCACGATTCGAAGGCACTCTTTGCCTCTATGAACATGAATTTACGTCCAATTCCTATCGAATTCTTCGCGTGTTAACGATGCTATCAGCACTCGAGACCGTATGTCCTACAAGTCGTCAGTTCCCTTGTTAGGGTTACAATGGGACGTAACTCACGATGTCTTCAGCATACCTATTAGGACTATTTGCAAGACGGTCACATCGAAACGTACAGCATTAAGAGCATTCGCCTCGACATTCGATCCCTTAGGTCTTCTTGTCCCCATTCCTTGCACCGCTCAAGATCTTTCTGCAGGACATGTGGATCAAGTCTTACGAATGGGACGATCCGTTTGAGGCTCAAGATCTTGCTCGCTGGAACCAGCTGATTCAGGACCTCGCTGATCCAATACCATCGGTCCCTCGCTGTCTTATATCACGATTTGAATCGACGATCGACTACGAACTCTGCGTCTTTGGAGATGCATCAAAACGTCTTTACGCTTCGTGCGTCTACCTCCTCTGTCGTACCAGTTCGTCTTCAGTGATCCATCTCCTAATGGCTAAATCCCTACTTGGACCACGTACACCAATCACCATGCCTCGTATGGAATTATTAGCCATGCTGATCAGTTTGCGACTTGTTCGCTTTGTACATACACAGCTTCACCTCAAGATCTCAGCTGTTCACGTCCTTTCGGACTCGCAGATTGTTCTATATTGGATCCATTCGTCGCGTCCACTCCGTACGTTTGTCAAGAATAGAATTACGGAGATTCAATCTATCGTGCAACAACTTCGTTCAGCTTCGATTCCAGTATACTTCTACTACGTCCGATCTCAAGACAATCCCGCCGATTGCGCGTCAAGAGGAATACCTACCAGTCTCGCCAATAACCATATTTGGTGGACAGGTCCAGCATTCCTACGATTACCAACTTCGCAATGGCCAGGGAATTACGATTTCGCTATACCGCCAGCGAACGACGATGAAGTACAGAACGAATACAAGACACTTACTGTGTCAGGAACATCTCAGTACACATCACCGTTTCGTTTTCGGTCTATTAGTCGGTACAATAGACTAGTACGATCTACAGTCTACGCTCTGAAGTTCATCGCACATCTAGCCGTCAAGATCAAGGCCACTCTCAACACCTTTGATGCGACTCACTTCAGCTTGACCAAGGATATTTCTACGACAGAATTCACTACCGCCGAGATATTCTTGCTCAAGGAGCATTACCGAGAAAGCGAAATCCTTCTTAGTCGTATGCCGCTCCAACGCTTCAACGCCCATCGTTCAACGGATGGCCTTATTCGTTGTCCGCATCGCATGGAACATGCATTCGACACCAAGTCTTCAGCTATACTACTAGTGCCATCACATCCCTTGACAACACTCATTATAAATCACGTTCATCTTTCCCAATTTCATTCGGGAGTTCATGCCACCATTGCCACACTTCGTTGTTCCTACCTTATTCCATCTATCAGGAGCATTGTGGCCAAAGTCCTTCGACGCTGCATTATCTGCAAGAAGATCAATGGACTACCCTATCGTTACCCGGATATGCCTAGTCTTCCGCCGGAAAGAGTCACAAGATCAAGACCTTTCCAGAATATCGGATTGGACTACCTTGGTCCTCTTCGATACAAGGATGTCTTCAGCTCATCGTCCAAGCTATGGATTTCCCTCTTTACCTGTATGGCCACGAGAGCAATCCATTTGGAGATCGTTTGGACAACACGACTCAAGAGTTCTTACTTGCACTCCGACGTTTCATCGCTCGTAGAGGTATTCCAGACCTCATTTTAAGCGACAACGCTACCACCTTTTGTGCAGCAGATCATACTCTGCAAGAACTCATCTCGAACTATTCCTCTAGCCACCGCATTCAGTGGAAATTTATAACACCGTTGTCCCCGTGGAAAGGAGGATTCTACGAAAGACTTGTCGCACTCGTCAAATCCTCATTTCGCAAGTCCATCGGACATTCGCTTATTCCACTGCAACAGTTCCAGACGATCATCTGTGAGATTGAAGCTATCGTCAATTCGCGACCTATTACATCCATTTCGGATACAATATCGTCGCCTACGGTACTTCGTCCTATAGACTTCATCTCACCTCGAGCACTACTCCAACTAGAATTAACAGGAACTCCTCATCTCGACTATACTCAGTCACACCTAGTCGAGTGGTATCGTTCCACTTCGGCAGTTCTGGATCATTTTTGGAACATCTGGTCCACGGACTACCTTAACGCAGTTGCACAACGACACTCAGTTCGCATTCGTCAAGGTCGATCAACGTCACGCGAACCACAAGTTGGAGAAGTCGTTCTGCTCGCCGATAAACAGCTACCTCGAGGACATTGGATACTAGCGGTCATTACCCAACTTTATTACAGCAGTGATCGCGTGCCCAGAAGCGCTACCATTCGCTTGCCTAACGGCAATCACGTCAAGAGGTCGATTAACCAGCTCTACCCTCTGGAAATTAGCGCTACACAACATCCTCCGGATACTACTAGGCCACAACCCAGCCGTATCCAGCCGACAAGGGCAGCCAAGTCCTCTCATCGCTATATAAAACCTCGGCAGTTCGGTAACTCCACTCAGTGATCACCCAACTTCGTTCAAGTGGAATCCGTTCATTCTAGTCTTCAGCTCGAATATCGATCGTTATTCTATCACTCAGCGCACTCTTGCCATCTTGCGCGCCAACGTCACTTCATGCCTGTTTGAACGTTACCATCCCTGAATCAGGCAATCTCGCGCTGCAATCATTTTCAACACATCGTGCAGCCCCATCGCAGTCTTCAGCATCACCTATCCATACTTCTCACATTTCGTCGTACGTTATATTGCTCTGCCACTCAAGTTTTCACTTCAGATAGGCAGTTCAACTGCTCACTACCAGCTAACGTACTACGACATGGATGAACGATTGGATACGTCGACATCTGCCTCGCGTGCCGATATGCCAGCAACTACGTCACGCAGTCATACCACCTCGACTCGCCCCGACGATTCTCTTCTGCTATCAGCCATATCTAAACTGCAAGGAACATCTCATGCTGAACCGTTACGTCAAGTTGGCTACCGCCCGTTGTTTCATCCGAAGATCAATGATCCTACCAACGCCGCACCACCACGTCGTCCGTTTCGCATCCGCACGTCTCAAGAACTTATCGCGGAATATGCGAAAGGCAATTTCGAAGTCACCGACGTTTCGCATGCCATCGACGATCTCTCGCAGGATCAAAGTCTTCCACCGTCTGAGCGCTTGTCACTCCAGATCGCTCAATCACTCACCATCGCAGCCAATTTCGACCATACATTCAGCATCGAGCAGTTGGCCACACGAGACCTCGTTATGGTAGATGCCTTTCTGCGTCACTCATTCTACAGCACCATCCGTGATTGGATCGTTGAAGAAACGATAACGCCGACACAAGCAGACCTCGACTTTCCACCTGTTCAAGAGTATTCCATCTGTCTGATTGTGCAAGCATTCAAGGGACTTCATGCAGCTAACGAGAAGATGCAGCAGCTCACAGACGACCTAGCAGCTCATCCGGACTACTGGAAGTCAGAAGAACATCTCGTCCAGCTACATGATCAGTACCTCACATCGTTTTACAACGTCCAAACCCACAGGAATACCCTCACGGAGCTCATTATTCCGCACGTCCTCAATCCCATCAAGGACAATCGCCGATTCGTCGATATTCTGAACTACTACGCTGTTACTATTCCTGACATCAAGCTGCTATGCACCACTGCATCTGCTATAACAGCCACAGCAGTTCTGAATATGAAGAAGATCAATCAGGCACTCGCTCGACTCCGTAATCTTCCATTGGCCCAACCATCAACAGTCGATACCATGGAAGTCGAAGATATTCCTGTTTCTACTCGTACTACTGCTACTTCACCTATTCGTTCGTCGTCAGCAATCTGCACTATGCAGACTTCGCCCGTCCTCAGCTTGACTACTACGCAATCATCGACTTATGTCTCGTCTTCAGCTCGACCACAGGAACGACTCATCCCGGTTTCTCCGGCTACTAGTACTCGTGCACCATCTACGGATACAAGAAGATCTGACCGTACTACGCGCAGACGTCGCTCTCCTTCGCCACCATCACGCAGACATTCGAGACGTCGCACATCGAGAAGTCCGGCCAGAAGACGAGCACGTTCGCCATCGGAACATCGATCACAGTTCCAGTGTTTCTTCTGCCACGCCGACACCCACTATTCGTCCGATTGTACTGTCGTCAGAAGTCTTACTAAGAGAGCCATGGATGCTGTCGCTGAAGGAAGATGCCTCTACTGTCTCTATGTTCACGCCCCAGGATACTGCCGCCGTGACATCGAATGCCGAGTGTGTGGCGCCAACGACCATCATCCAGCACTCTGTCCCCACAGTCGCTATCTCGATCGGGACATCGGCACAAACAGCAGGGAATTCTTCCAAGCCATGTACGTTCTCTACGAAAACTATTACATCCGTCATCCGAAGCACTAGTTCCGGACATTCGCCTTCTGCAACTCTCTACATGACCCGTGGGCTGGGAACCAACATCACCCCCCTCACAGCGTTGAGAGATCGCTGTTTTCTAAATTCACACTTTTGGACTAGGGACTTAACACCCCCCTGCCGAATTGGCTTTAGCGAGGCTCACCATCTCTCCCTCGCATTTTGGACCCTTGGCTTAGGAAAATTCACTTCCTCTCAACATCAAATCATCCATCGCCAAGCCGTTCGACCATCGATCCGTCCATCGAATCGACCATCGAGCCGTCCATCAATTCTTCCATCGTGCCGTCCATCGTGCTGTTCGACCATCGAGCCGACCATCGAGCCGTCCATCGTTCGCCAGCCGATTCCAACGTCACGAGCCAATTCCAACGTCCAACGAGTTCAATGCAGCAGTACCACCGCTTCCAACGCCGTGATCAAGGTTGTGATAGTCAGTTGCAGTGTATATATTTTGTTTTGTGTGTATTTTTTGCTTATTTACTCTCATTTACTTTGTAATCTTCCTCCTCATTTAATCATTCCGTCATTTGAAGAAGTTTATCTAAGCTGTGACCCCTATTTAACTGTGTTTATACCGTTCTAATCCCCCAGCCGGTAAGCAGCAGGCCCCTATGTACGTCGGTATCGGCGCATCTCGTTTCGGCGCCGGGAGTGTCGCGACTCTCGTCACGACCTTTTCAACGTACAGGGTATGCGCCGATAGGATTCCCGTGCTCCAGACACTTTCTCACGCCATGGAGGACGAGACACTACGCTTCTCACGGACGCAGACGCTTTCCCATGATTCAAACGCATGCCGCCGCGGGAAGCTCTCTGCGTCCCTGCGATTCGCGCCCATCTGCCAGCAGTCATCGTCAGTCGTCTTCCTGTCGCCTCGCCGAGTGGTTGCGTCTACGAAGTCCTCAGCCTCGGTTGGAGCCGGTCGTCATGTCACCACCATCGTCAGCTCAAGGATCGGTTCGCATGCCCCGCCGCTTATCTTACCGGTTGCGCCCGTAGGTTCCTTTATATCATTAACATATCTCTCTCTCATGTAGTCATGTAATCCATTGTAAAGTTAGTCATGAAAGCCT